CTGTTGAACTTTCAGTTCGTAGCTCAAGTTAAAATGGTGACTTCAGTAAATGAAGCTGCAGTGTATGCATTGCGCCCTTCCATCTGGATGTTAACAGGTGAATTTCTGTTGGCTTGGTTAGCTGCCATATTTGTGAATTAATTACTTCATTATAATCATATATTATAGTTTATGATATTTCAGTCTGGTAAGCGCTTGATTGAGCAAATAGTAGAATGGTTTTGCAGCAAGTAGATTTTCACATGGTGGCGTTCTACGTGGTGCCTAAAGGACTAATCTCACTGCCATTACAATCTTTTGGAATGGATGTATTAGTGCAGTCCCAGAACCTACGCCATGTTGAAATCCGGAGGCTGGTGTTGATTATGGGCACAGTAGTTGCTGCTGTTGTTGTTCTTCAGTGCTCTGTGCTTGCCAATTGGAAGAGTATATTTGTATCATCTCCTGATAAAGGTTCAATAGCTTTTGTCATCAGCAACGAAACTATCTTGGATGATTCAAGATTCACCCTGGTTAATACCTCTGATTCTTATGAAGAAGGTGAGTATGAGAAAGAGTATGATGGAGAAAAGGAAGATTACGATCTCACATTAGATTTTAACAAACATCTTGGGGATTCTTTTAAATCCAAAGATCAAAACTCCAGGAAAGAATCCATATTAGGGAAGAGCATAAGCAATGGTAATAGTTTGCTAATCGGGAATGTTGCAAGAATGAAAAATAGCTCAAGTCAAACAAGGACTATAGAAATGGGGCACAATTTTCTAGAGCCGGGTGAAAAGAAAGTGAAGAGTTATACAATAAACGATGAAGCAAAAGCATCCAACTTCTCTGGTACTGCACGAGTTGCATCATCACAAGATCCAGTTCAGGAAATAGAAGATTTGAATACAAATTCAGGATCTTCTGATGTGGTAACTGTTATGTCTTTGACAGGCAATGTCAAGCAAACCATGGAAACACAACAAGAGAGCAATGAACTACTACAAACTCTGTCAGTCATTCTGACCAATAATTCTCTGAAGGCCAGGATTTCCTTGTTAAAACGACGGAAGAAGCAGTCGATATCAATAAACCAGATGGATACTATATTCGCTAGAGGTCTTATTTCGTCTCATTCTGTGGTAAGAATTCAATTAGGTCTCAAATTGAGTAATGGTGAACGAGATAAACTAACTTGTTCTGTTATTGGCTGTAGAGGCCACGGTGGTCTTCTCCACGTGATCGTGAACTTCTGTCAGCAAAACGTGAAATTGAAAATGCACCTACTTTAAGGGACATTCCAGGACTTTACACTTCAGTTTTTCGAAATATTTCCAGGTTTAGAAGGTAAGCATCTGCTTATGAAATGCAAATAATTTCTATTATGTAGTTTTCCTGCTTTCCTTATAACCACTTTTCTCTATCTGCTTTGATTGGTAAACTTGCTGCTGCGATAATTCTGTATGATACTTGAAATTGTTGATGTCTATCATTCTTCCATTCAGTGCCAGCTTCTAAAAAGCCTTTTTATACCCCATTTACAGAAGTTATGACTTGATGGAACGGGTGCTCAAGGTTTATGTTTACAAGGAAGGGCAGAAGCCCATATTTCATCAGCCGAAGATGAGGGGAATTTATGCCTCAGAAGGATGGTTTATGAAACTTATAGAGGGAAACAAGAACTTCATCGTGAGAGACCCAAGGAAAGCTCACTTATTTTACTTACCCGTCAGTATAAAAAATCTAAGATCAGCACTAGGACAAGATTTCCAGTCTCCAAATGATCTAAAAGGATCTCTGAGGAAATATGCAGAGTTAATTGCTGGAAAGCACAAATTTTGGAACAGAACTGGAGGAGCAGATCATTTTCTTGCTGCTTGTCACGACTGGGTATGCTGTTCATGTTTTTATTAATATGATCACCTCAGACTTGTTTCTTGAATTCTCTTTTCTTATTTGGCAAGTAGCTGAGTGCTTCTACGTATTAAGTATTGCTATATTTGGTTGCTTTGACAGTAAGAACCAAGAATTAATCTAAATCAATTAGCAATCATGAGATAAATACCTAGTTTATGAACTCACACATATTTTTGTTACTGAAATAGTGTTAAATTCCTTGTCCTGATATTAGCTTGTAGGCTTGTCAGTTACTGAATGAAATTCAGATATAAATTTTTCAGGCCCCCAAACTGACAAAACCACATATGAAGAATTGTATCAGAGCACTTTGCAATGCAAATGCTGCTGAAGGATTCAACATTGGCAAGGATACTACTCTACCGGTAACATATATACGCTCTGCCGAGGCCCCTCTGGAACATCTTGGAGGGAAACCCTCTTCTGAGCGACATATTCTGGCCTTCTTTGCTGGAAGTATGCACGGATATCTCCGGCCTATCCTGCTGGAGTACTGGGAGAAGAAAGAAGCTGATATGAAAATCTTTGGTCCACTGCCTCGTGACAATGAAAGGGCGCAGAAGCTACAGAGAGCACATGAAAAGCAGCAAGTATTGCATATGTGCAAGGGGTTTATGAAGTTCACACACCCTA